GGAGGGACCATCAGCGCTCCGCTGACTGCGGTGCTGATAATGATGCTCGCCTGCACACACACACAGAGGGAGGGGGGGGCTCTCCCCCTTGCCCTGACGCAACTTTCTAATAATAGCCTCGTGGATTTCACTGTGGAGTTTACATTACATATGTTGCGCTCAGCAAGTCCAAGCATCCTCTTCACCTTCATCGAGGTTTAAATAATGACTTTATCCTCAGCAGCATCGCTGGGTATAAAACGAGCATCTCAGACAGGAAGAGTTTCTCAGAAGTCAAAATGGGTCGAGATTCACCAATAAGTAAAAGAACAAAAAAAAAAGAAAGAAGGAAAAAACACATTAACAAATTGTGGAACAATTCAAAAACAATATTCATGTAAAAATGTGTAAAACTGCAAACACTTTGAATATCTCATATTACCAGAAGATTCGGAGAAATCTCAAGAGATCTCTGTGCAAAGGAAATGTCTGAAAATCAGTATTCATTGGCTGTGATCTTCGGGTCATAAGACAGCACTGCTTTAAAAATGGACATGGTTCTGTCATGGAAGTCACTGCATCAGGAAAATATCCAGAAATGACTCTGTGGACACAGTTCGTTGTGCTATTCACAAATGCAGCCTAAAGCCCGAAGAAGCCACATGTGGACATGATCCAGAAACCCAGAAACTCAGTGATTCCAAAAAGACTGAGCTAAATTGTAAAACTGTTCTGTGGTCTGACACATTGAAATTTGAAATTCCTTTTCTTTGGAAAACATGGATACTCTGCAAGCAGAGAGGGACCATCTCCGATACTATGGGAATGCATTCATGTCTGGAAATGGCTGGAATTCACAGCTTGCACACCTGGAGATGAATGCTAAAAGACTCAAACAAGTTGTAGAGCAACATTTTCTCCAATCCGGATGATGTCATTTGCAGGTGAGGCCTTACATATTTCAGCAAGACAATATTGAACCTTCTGCAATGAAATGAAAAATATAAAGAATACTCAGGACTGTTGAGCAAGCAGAAGCCCATATCATGCACCTTGACTCTGTGTTAGCTAGTTCCCTGATTCCTGAAATAATAAAGATTACTCCCTAAACTCCTGCCTTAAAACAAGCCCGTTGTCTGCACTATCACTGCGTGCTGTAGAATGACCTGAAAATAATAATTTTCAGTGAAAATAATGGGATCAAACAGCAAAACAGAACATCACAGCAAAAGAACAACAACACACCCAAGTTTCAATGTTTAGTCTATTACAAAACAAACAAACTTTTTAGTTTGTTTGTTTTGGGTGAGCGTTAGAGTAATGACCAGCAGTAATGATGACAGATCTCACGGGCTAAAAGGTGCTAACAAAAGTTGGTTCAACAGCTTTCAGCGTGGGCCGATTTTGAAACACTGCTATTATTGCTTATTATTTTATTAATTGTAGTTTCTACATGGAAATAAAAACAACAATAGATGACAAAAATACCAAAAGTAATCAGACTTTATCAGTCTGTCACATTACTGTGGGGGGATTTAGGCCCACTCGAGGTTTGGACTTTGACTGGTCCATTGCAACAGTTTGATTCGTTCCTTTTTTGCCTGTTCTTGAGATCATTGTCCTGTTGTAGACCAAATTTGGGCCAAGCCTTAGCTTTTGGTGTCATGTTGAGCCGTGTGGCAGGCAGGGGTTGGACTCAAACACAGGACTCCAGGACAAAAACTTGACTGAAAGCAGCAGCTTTATTTGGAAAAACAAACTAACAACGAAGTGCACAAACATAAGAAGAAACAAACAGAAGAATAAACAGACGAAGACTGAAGACTTAAATACACAAGCAGGACAAGCAGGGGATGGGAAACAGGCGGGGACTAATTAGACATAACAAGACAGAAAGGATGCAAAACGGAATACCCTGAATACAGGACAAATGACTATCAAAATAAAACAGGAAACAAGAGACATGACA